AAGAGAGAGATCTCCCATTTCCTCGAAGAGGAGGTGCTCCCCAAGTGTCCGGTCCTCCTCGACCACTGGTATCCGAATTCCGTCGTCAAATTCCCTCTTCCCCTTTTCAAAATCACAGCACCTCGACGCTGATATTCTTCTCTCTTCTTTCGCCATAAATTTCTGCACTTCTCATATTCCCACTCTCCTGCCTCAAAATCAGCCCCCTGACCGCTGAAAATAGCACATTCGGACGCTGAAAATTCAGCACTCGACGATCAATTTCCCATGCTCTCTCCTCTCTAGAAGTGGCTCTAGAGGTGGCTATGTCGTTATCCTCCCTCAAAGATCTCTACATCCTGTTCCTCCTCCCTACGCGGGTTTCGGATTTCCTCCCTACGCCGTGGTCTCTGGTAGTCTCTCTTGCTTCGACGTCGTCGGAATTAGTCTTCATCTCCAATAATTTCTTCAATCATTTCTTCCCCAATGGGCCGTAAATTTGGCCCTCCAACTTTTCATTGTTGGTGGTGAATTTGATTTTAAAAAAATCAAAGAAATCTCTCATCATCGTTTTCCAATTGACCACTTCGCCTTCCAAAACGTCCACCTTCTTTCCGGCTATCGTTCTTCTAAAGGATCCTCAAAAACTTCTTCCGGAGTACGAGAAACTTGCTGAAATTTCAGAATTTCAGCCGCTGGTGGTCCCAAATCGAGGCTCTGATACCAATTTGATAGGAAATACTTGAAATCATAATTCCTCTAGCCAAAACTGAGGCAGAACCAGGGAAAAACTGCCTGTTCCAGCAGTGGACAGCAGCTTAACAGCAAGGAAAACAGTGAGGAAACGCGAAAAATGAGATCCAAGCGCAGCAAAAGCTAGTTATTTATTAGTAGAAACGAATAACAATTGCAAAGTACATTTGTTCCTCAATTCCGAGAGGAAGAAACGTACTCTCGGCAAAGTCTCCGGCGAAGCCAAGAGCCCAAAACAAAACCTAGATTCTCAAAGAGAAAACTCAAATTCAAGATAATACCTTTCCTCCTCATAAACTCTCTAATTAAAGCAAAAGGAAAGATACAAATTACATAAAACGCATTTTTCATTCAAAATTCCCTCCAACGAATGCTCAAAAAGCGCGCTTAGCCGCTCACTATCGTCCGCCGATTTTTGCGGAATCGAGCGGTTCCGCGCGCCGAACCACGGGTGTGTAACTAAGACCGGTCACCAGCTGGGATCCGGATGCAATGTATAATGCATACAACAGTTCAATTCATATGATTTCATATGTACATGTTAAAATCATGACATAAAACTCAATACATATAACGTACTCTTCGATATCTAATAATTGTATAGTTGCTTTTATTAAATATAATGGGAGAGTTAGTATTTAGGCAGAGACTTTATCACATCATTTGTCATCCACATTGACTCTTTATTTTGTTTTTAATACTAACTAAATCTTAAGAAGTCTGATAAAAACTAGATTCCATGAGCAGTTTTCCAAGCTATAAATACAATGTGAATGATGTATTTTATAATTTGATGATACAATAAAAGACAATATATTTAAAAATAACTTTGGAGGAAGAAGCCTATTTCCTTCTAAGGAGATTAAGATTATAGCATGTGAATCTGAAAATATTCTTGTATCTTATTCATTTAACTTGAATATATAAAGTAATTTTTACTGTTAATGCACCATACAGAACTTTGGAATGAAGTAAATGCAGCTAGACCAGTTAAGATAGATTTGATAGAGCAGGGAATCGTGAAAAAGAGGAACAGGGACAGAGATAGGAGAGAGATAAAGAAAGGGAGCGAATGACAGAGTTTCGCCATATGTTCTCCAAAGAAGCAACTAAATAGCAAACTTTCTTCGTTCTCAAATAAGGAAAAATATAATTTATAACAAGCAATATCAGAGCTTGATCTCTCAAACTGCCAAGAGATGTACCCTAGTTATCGTCTGCTCCCAAAGAATGTAAAGAAGCATTACTCTGCACTTTCTCCTGCTATTTGTGACATTTTTTTCTGAATCAAGTTTAATCTGCTTCAATGAATATGTTGATTGACAGTACCCTATGCTCTGCTAGCCCATAGAACTGAGCTTGGTGGTATCAGTACAATGAGTTTGGGTCTCAGTGAACATCTGTAGTGAGGATTATTCTTTCAAAACACATGAGGAAAAATCAATATGAAGAAAGCCCTTTTAATTGATGTGAAAGATGATAGGTAACAAAATCCCCCCTCCCCTTTATTTAGTTATGGAGCAGGCATGCAATTGCTTTGATTTTAATATTGCTTGTTTCGTAAAATCTTTATAACGCTTGAAGAGTAATGATAATATCAATCTGAAAAGAAAGTGCTTTTACTTTTTCCATTCCACTGACATTTGAAATAATTGTTTTTTGATAGTCACCTTTTCTGCTTCTGTTCACCATTGAATTCTATTTAATTTGATCAATTTGGTGGATGCACATGTTTGTCGAGTTGCATAGGTATTCTTAAAATATCTCATTGTTTTGAGCATGTTCGTTATGATGGTGTTAGGTTTGAGCTGGACAGCTACTAGAATCTGTAAAATGCAACCTGCCAAGCGTGTGGAGGAATTGCTTGAGAAGATACAGGATAAACTATCAACCAGAATCTCCATTTCATTTGAGGATCATTTTTCAGTTATAGTTCATTAATATTTTTTCCTGTTTAGCAGCTGTTACTTCCCAGTTTTTTATAGGTCGCATTTTGACTCATATTTTTGTCTATATTTTTTGAAATAGCTCTAAACTTGAAGGTGCATTGAACGGCTATATGGTGATCATGGCCTGGACGTAATGGATGTTTTGCGTAAAAATGCAAGTCTTGCTTGCCTATCAT